GCTCCACAAATTTCTTGTTAACAAACTATAGTATTGGCAAGTCGGTTAGGACATTTATTTGTGCATGACACAAGTCATTTTTCCAACAATTGTTTACAGACAGATTATTTCACTTATAATTCACTGTGTCACAATTCCAGTGGGTCAGAAGTTTACATACACTAAGTTGACTGTGCCTTTTAAACAGCTTGGAAAATTCCAGAAAATTATGTCATGGCTTTAGAAGCTTCTGATAGGCTAATTGACATCATTTGAGTCAATTGGAGGTGTACCTGTGGATGTATTTCAAGGCCTACCTTCATACTCAGTGCCTCTTTGCTTGACATCATGGGAAAATCAAAAGAAATCAGCCAAGACCCCAGCATTTTTTTTTGTAGACCTCCACAAGTCTAGTTCATCCTTGAGAGCAATTTCCAAATGCCTGAACGTACCACGTTCATCTGTACAAACAATAGTACACAAGTATAAAGACCATGGGACCACGCAGCCGTCATACCACTCAGGATGGAGACGCGTTCTGTCTCCTAGAGATGGTGTGAAAAGTGCAAATCAATCCCAGAACAACAGCAAAGGACCTTGTGAAGATGCTGGAGGAAACAGGTACAAAGTATCTATATCCACAGTAAAATAAGTCCTATATCGACATAACCTGAAAGGCCGCTCAGCAAGGAAGAAGCCACTGCTCCAAAACCACCATAAAAAAGCCAGACTACGGTTTGCAACTGCACATGGGGACAAAGATAGTACTTTTTGGAGAAATGTCCTCTGGTCTGATGAAACAAAAATATAAATGTTTGGCCATAATGACCATCATTATGTTTGGAGGAAAAAGGGGGTAGCTTGCAAGCCAAAGAACACCATCCCAACCATGAAGCACGGGGGAGGCAGCATCCTGAGTGGCGCAGTGGTCTAAGGCACTGCATCGCAGTGCTAACTGTGCCACTAGAGATCCTGGTTCGAATCCAGGCTCTGTCGCAGCCGGCCGCGACCGGGAGACTCATGGGCGGCGCACAATTGGCCCAGCGTCGTCCAGTGTAGGGGAGGGAATGGCCGGCAGGGATGTAGCTCAGTTGATAGAGCATGGCGTTTGCAACGCCAGGGTTGTGGGTTTGATTCCCACGGGGGGCCAGTATAAAAAAATATGTATTCACTAACTGTAAGTCGCTCTGGATAAGAGCGTCTGCTAAATGACTAAAATGTAAATGTAAATGTAAAATGTAATGCTGTGGGGGTGCTTTGCTGCAGGAGGGACTGGTGCACTTCACAAAATAGATGGAATCATGAGGAAGGAAAATTATGTGGATATATTGAAGCAACATCTCAAGACATCAGTCAGGAAGTTAAAGCTTGGTCGCAAATGGGTCTTCCAAATGGACAATGACCCCAAGCATACTTCCAAAGTTGTGGCAAAATGGCTTAAGGACAACAAAGTCAAGGTATTGGAGTGGCCCTGACCTCAATCCTATAGAAAATGTGTGGGCAGAACTGAAAAAGCGTGTGCGAGCAAGGAGGCCTACAAACCTGACTCAGTTACACCAGCTGTCAGAAGGAATGGGCCAAAATTCACCCAACATATTGTGGGAAGCTTGTGGAAGGCTACCCGAAACATTTCAACCAAGTTAAATGATTTAAAGGCAATGCTACCAAATACTAATTGAGTGTATGTAAACTTCTGACCCACTGGGAATGTGATGAAAGAAATAGAAGCTGAAATAAATCATTCTCTCTACTATTATTCTGACATTTCGCATTCCTAAAATAAAGTGGTGATCCTAACTGACCTAAGACAATTTTTACTAGGATTAAATGTCAGGAATTGTGAAAAACTGAGTTTAAATGGATTTGGCTAAGGTGTATGTAAACTTCTGACTTCAACTGTATATTTTATATTTGACATTCTTCAAATAGCCACCCTTTGCCTTGATGACAGCTTTGCACACTCTTGGCATTCTCTCAACCAGCTTCATGAGGTAGTCACCTGGAATGCATTTAATTTAACAGGTGTGCCTTGTTAAAAGTGAATTAGTGGAATCTCTTTCCTTAATGCGTTTGAGCCAATCTGTTGTGTTGTGACAAGTTAGGGCTATCTTCTGTATACCACCCCTATCTTGTAAAAGACCAAGTTCATATTATGGCAAGAACAGCTCAAATAAGCAAAGAGAAACAACAGTCCATCATTACTTTAAGATTTTCAAGAACTTTGAAAGTTTCTTCAAGTGCTGTCGCAAAAACCATCAAGGGCTATGATGAAACTGGCTCTCATGAGGACCGCCACAGGAATGGAAGACCCAGAGTTACCTCTGCTGCAGAGGATAAGTTCATTAGAGTTAACAGCACCTCAGATTGCAGCCCAAATAATTTATTCACAGAGTTCAAGTAACAGACACATCTCAACATCAACTGTTCAGAGAAGCCTGCTTGAATCAGGCCTTCATGGTCGAATGGCTGCAAAGAAACCACTACTAAAGGACACCAATAAGAAGAATAGATTTGCTTGGGCCAAGAAACACGAGCAATGGACATTCGACCGTTGGAAATCTGTCCTTTTGGTCTGATGAGTCAGTATTGGAGATTTTTGGTTCCAACCTCCGTGTCGTTGTGAGACTCAGAGTAGGTGAATGGATGATCTCCACATGTGTGGTCCCACCGTGAAGCATGGAGGAGGAGGTGTGATGGTGTGGGGTTGCTTTGCTGGTGACACTGACTGTGATTTATTTAGAATTCAAGGCACACTTAACCAGCATGGCTACCACAGCATTCTGCAGCGATACCACATCCCATCTGGTTTGCGCTTAGTGGGATTATCATTTGTTTGGAGAGTGATGGTGTGCTGCATCAGATGACCTGGCCTCCACAATCACCGACCTCAACCCAATTGTGATGTTTTGGGATGAGTTGGACCTTAGAGTGAAGGAAAAGCAGCCAACCAGTGCTCAGCATATGTGGGGACTCCTTCAAGACTGTTGGAAAAGCATTCCTCATGAAGCTGGTTGAGAGAATGCCAAGAGTGTGCAAAGCTGTCATCAAGGCAAAGGGTGGCTACTTTGAAGAATCTAAAATATATTTTTATTTGTTTAAAACGTTTTTGGTTACTACATGATTCCATATGTGTTATTTCATAGTTTAGATGTCTTCACTATTATTCTACAATGTAGAAAATAGTAAAAATAAAGAAAAACCCTTGAATTAGTGTCCAAACTTTTGACTGACATTTTTCCCAAATTCCAATTATAAATTGGAACATTTAGAGCATTTATTTGCAGAAAATGACAACTGGTCAAAATAGCAAAAAATATGCAGTGTTGTCAGACCTCGAATAATTTTTAAACAACACAATACTTATGTTTTAACTTAGGAAGAGTTCAGAAATCAATATTTGGTGGAATAACCCTGATTTTCAATCACAGCTTTCATGCGTCTTGGCATGCTCTCCACCAGTCTTTCACATTGATGTTGGGTGACTTTATGCCACTCCTGGCGCAAAAATTCAAGCAGCTCTGCTTTGTTTGATGGCTTGTGACCATCCATCTTCCTCTTGATCACATTCCAGAAGTTTTCAATGGGGTTCAGGTCTGGAGATTGGGCTGGCCATGATAGGGTCTTGATCTGGCTGTGTGGCATGGTGCATTGTCCTGCTGGAAAAACCAATCCTCAGAGTTGGGGAACAATGTCAGAGCAAAAGGAAGCAAGTTTTCTTCCAGGACAACCTTGTACGTGGCTTGATTCATGCGTCCTTCACAAAGACAAATCTGCCCGATTCCAGCCTTGCTGAAGCACCCCCAGATCATCACCGATCCTCCACCAAATTTCACAGTGGGTGCGAGACGCTGTGGCTTGTAGGCCTCTCCAGGTCTCCGTCTAACCATTAGACGACCAGGTGTTGGGCAAAGCTGAAAATTGGACTCATCAGAGAAGATGACCTTACTCCAGTCCTCTACGGTCTTTTGCAAACCTCAGCCTGGCTCTTCTTTGCTTCTCATTGATGAAGGGCTTTTTTCTAGCTTTGCATGACTTCAGCCCTGCCCCTAGGAGCCTGTTTCGAACCGTCCTCGCCGTGCACTTCACCCCAGCTGCCGTTTGCCATTCTTTTTGTAGGTCACTTGATGTCATCCTACGGTTGTTGAGTGACATTCTAATGAGTTGGCGGTCATCCCGGTCAGTAGAGAGTCGTTTTCGCCCTCTGCCGGTCTGTAGCTTTGTTGTCCCCAATGTCTGCTGCTTGACCTTGTTCTTATGAACCGCCGTCTTTGACATTTTAAGGATGGAAGCAACCTGACGCTCACTGTATCCCTCTGCCAGTAAAGACAGAATTGAACCCTTCTTTTCCTCACTCAAAACGTTCCTTTTCAACTCTTTTGGCCAATAGTTATTTTTTGATTAATATTACTTTTGAGGTACTATTAGCACTGTTTTTACCATCCAGCTGGTCCTATTGCAAGAGGATAGTGATGACCACAGCAGTGATTTTTATACTTTTCCTCATTAAATAAGATTTGGTTCAGGTGATCACCTAATCAGTACCTAATTCAGTAGAATGAGGTGTGCCTGTGTTGGAATTCAACAGACACTTGAATGGAATGGCTGTCATACATGTAGAGATGCTGATGTAAGAAAGATTTGCAGTGGTCTCTTAATTTTTTCCACAGCTATATATATTTATTTTATTTTACCCCTCCCCTAATTGGAGTAAACGAATGGACAACAACACTTAGGCATCTACTTCCAGCTTATACAGTACATACTATATACATTTTACAGATACATTTTACTGACACTGTATATTGTAAAATATATGTAGTATGGTCAGTTAATGTTGGGTTGGTGATATATCAATCAGATGCTGCATCATGTCACTGGGTGTACTGCTGTAGTGTGTGCTAAACACCACGGCCCGTAGGCCGGCAGGACCGTTTAGTGTCAAATGTATATTCCTCTGCGCGCTACTCAGCTGGCGACAGTAGCGGAGTAACCCCGCCGGGCTTGGAGAAGAATAAGAGGCCATGATGGACAATCTCCTGTGTTGTGAGGTGTAGGAAAAGGGGAGGCTGAGGGGTGTGTCCCACTTGTCTTCACGTTCCCCCTCCCCTCCGTCCTCCTCTGTGTTTTGGATCTTGTCTGGGGCCTCATCCCAATGATATGTTTTTCCTGATAAATCTTTCAGTGTGTGCTAAAACTATGGGCAGTACATCCAGCCAAACGCTTCATGCTATGTGCGCTGAAAGAAGCCATAGAAGAGATTTACTCATCGAGTGTGACGAGCACAACGCTGTTATTTTTATGTAAATTTCTTTTTTGTCCCGAACGGAGGGGATTTTAAGGAATGAATCATGGCACTTCTGAGCGATGTCACGTGGAGTTTTTTTTTATTGAAAGCTGCAGTATTTGTTTTATCTTTACATATTAAACCACATATTCCCTGTTTTTAAATCAGGACTCTCATCATAATTTAAGTGCACAATGCTGAGGCCCTGTCTTGAATAGTGGAAGGGTCAGTTTAGTTCAGACACACGTGTGGTATGTAGGGCTATGTATGTTTTGACCATTCATTTTAAATGAATCAGGTAGTTTGTGTTCTTGATTCATGTCATCATATATTTCTTCTTGATTCATATTCTTGGCACATATGACCTGTGTGATGAATCAACTCACCACGACTCATGATGAAAAATCATCTGTGATATTTTGTGTGTCTATTCATGCAGGCGTTGATTTCAAAGTGAAGACCATTTCAGTGGATGGGAACAAGGCAAAGTTGGCAATATGGGTATGTATTCTTCTGTCCTCTGAAAACTTAGTAGAAATTCAGACTGGTAAGGAACTGGCTTGGTATGCCCTTGGTATGCACATCCTCCTAGGTATGTGTGTTTTTTTAAGGTTTAGTAAAGAAAATAATCACATTGCTGAATTTCCATTAGTTCTGCTTAAAATGTTATTCACTAAACGTCCACAAGATAGCGCTCATGTACAGCATTCTGAGCACCGACCATCAATGAAATGGCAGTCAAATGTTTCTTTAGGCTTTAGTCCTGGTCCTGCATCACTTTTTATGGTTCTGTCCTAGTCACCACCATATCTTCCTCGACATGTGTCCAGAGCTCAATAGCTGAGAGGGTTATGGTTGTGTTTTGATGTGTCCAGAGCTGTAATGGTTATGGTCCAGACTCCAGAGCTGTAATGGTTGTGTTTTGCAGGACACGGCTGGCCAGGAGCGTTTCCGAACCCTGACGCCTAGTTACTACCGGGGCGCGCAGGGAGTCATCCTGGGTGAGCAAACAACTTCATCATTCAGACGCTTTAGACATAGTCAGTCACCGCTGTTCCAGACAGCCACCATAAAGACAGTGATGGATTTTCATCCTGTCCTGTCCACTTCCTTACTCTCTGGAACAGACTTTACTACTCTTAACGCTAAAGCAGACATCCTCCAAAGCACACAATGTATGTGGAGGCTATGATAGTGTGGTTAACACCACGGGTGAAGTAGAGCTCCCATTCAAAATGAAAGTAGGTATCTTTTTCCTCATCATAGAGTTGCAGAATTCCCTGATTTTCCAGAAATCATGGTTGAAAGTTCCCGGAATCAGGAGGGAAATTTAGCAGGATATCTAGGAATCTTCCAACCGGGATTTCTGAAAAACTGGAATTTGGTGAAACTTACTGGAATTTTGCAACCCTACCTCTTCAGTTCAGTTCCTATTAAGCCCAGGACCAGTGTTGTAACTCACTATGTTGATACACAGCTCAGGGCTGTGACGGTCATGAAATTTGGGATAATGGTAATTGGATGACAGTAATTGGACAGCCCCCCTACGGCCAGTCAGTCTTCAGTCAGCTGTTCGTTCCCCAACGGTTATGAGAGTGCCAGCCCTAAGCATAGGCCTACTCAATTATATAACACTTAACACATTATTGTGTTATGTGTCAGGGTAGCTTGAAACATGGTTTGAAAGGTGTGGTCCTCTGTAGCTCAATTGGTAGAGCATGGCACTTGTAACGCCAGGGTAGTGGGTTCGATCCCCGGGACCACCCATACGTAAAAATGTATGCACGCATGACTGTAAGTCGCTTTGGATAAAAGCATCTGCTAAATGGCATATTATATTATTATTATATTATAAAGGTCAAATATCCCTCCTCAGTGACAGTATGTCCTGCAGCCTTCTGGTGACAGAAGAAATCAAATGTTTCTGACCGAGCATCTCGTCTCTTATCTCTCCCTCAGTGTATGACGTAACGCGACGGGATACTTTCACCAAGCTGGACAACTGGCTCAATGAGCTGGAGACGTACTGTACAAGGAATGACCTCGTCAAGATGCTGGTCGGGAACAAAATTGATAAGGTGAGTCTGTTTATTATTATATATATATATATATATATATATATATATATATATATATATATATATATATATATATATATATATATATATATATATATATATACTGAACAAAAATATAAACGCAACATGCAACAATTTCTAAGATTTTACTCTAAGATTTTACTTATTAATTTGGCTCTAATCTATGGATTTCACATCACTGGGCAGGGGCCCAGCCATGGGTGGCCTGCGAGGGCATAGGCCCACCCACTGAGCACCCATGTCCACTCACTGGGGAGCCAGGCCGTGCCAATCAGAATGAGTTTTTCCCCACAAAAGGGCTTTATTACAGACAGAAATACTCCTTAGCACCCCCCCTCCCCCTCCTCCTCCTCAAACGATCCCGCAGGTGAAGAAGCCGGATGTGGAGGTCCTGGGCTGGTGTGGTTACACGTGGTCTGCGGTTGTGAGGCCGTTAGACGTACTGCCAAATTCTCAAAAATGACTTTTGAGGCAGCTTATGGTAGAGAAATGAGCATTAAATTCTCTGGCAATAGCTCTGGTGGACATTCCTGCAGTCAGCATACCAATTGCACACTCCCTTAAAACTTGAGACATCTGTGGCATTGTGTTGTGTGACAAAACTGCACATTTTAGAGTGGCCTTTTATTGTCCCCAGCACAAGGTGCACCTGTGTAATGATCATGCTGTTTAATCAACTTCTTGATATGCCACACCTGTCAGGTGGATGGATTATCTTGGCAAAGGAGAAATGTTCACTAACAGGGATGTAAATGAATTTGTGCACAACATTTGAGTGAAATATGTTTTTTGTGACTATGGAACGTTTCTGGGATTTTTTATTTCAGCTCATGAGAGATGGGACTAACACATTACATGTTGCGTTTTATGTCTTTGTTCAGTATACAGTGTGTCAGATCAGAGTGGTCTGGAATCAGAGAGAAATGTGTTAGTTGATACTTTACAGGTAACAATGGTTTCCCTCTTCAGAATGTCAACACATACTTTATTGCCTACATTATACAATTTGTGGAATGCTTTCTGTTTAAGTTTGAGGGTAACACTTTACATCAAGTTTATTTTATAGCTGTGTAGTAATCCAGTAAATACTACAATAACATTGTTACTACATGGGTATGTTACCAATTTGAGCTGGAATGTATTGTTAATAATATTACCTCCCCCATCCAGTTGTGTCCCATTAAACTGAACTGAGAGAAGAGGTCTTAGTGTGCATGCCCTCATCATATTTTAACACAGCCCGAGCCCATGTGGCCCACAGCAGTGTTTTAAAAACACTCACATGTTCCACCAAATGTTTTCTCTGAGTTTAGTTCCATAAGTCTGTGTTCTTTTAAAACATGTCATTATATTGAAATGTATCCTGCTGCCTCTGTTGTATTATTGTCATGCTCATCTTCCACCATTATTTGTCCTTGGTTGTTGTTGTTGACCCTGTAGTAGTAACTTGAGTAGACATAATGGACAGTACTGTGTAGTACTATGCTGTGTACTAGCCTTTGTCTGTGGGACTGACTGGACTCCTATGTTTCCTGTATTCCCAGCCCAGTCATATTCCCCATAGCTGACGGGTATGCCGGACAGACCTCATAAAAGATGACTATTCTTTGTTTTAGGAAAACCGTGAACTAGACAGGAACGAAGGCCTGAAGTTTGCAAGAAAACATTCCATGCTCTTTATAGGTAAGCCAGGAGCTGGGAGGATTCCCCTCTCTTCTCCCATCTCGGACCCGACCCGGGGCATGAGTTATCGCAGACTGTTATGCAGGGGATCTGCTTTTTAAATATCTCTCATACTTGGATTGTAATGTTTGCCTAGTTCTATTTTTAACTTTTTGTCCTCTATCTAACGTCTTTCATAGTGATTCATGGCCAAACCCCCCGCTCTTGTGGACCAATTTGTCAGGATTTATTTGAATATAGCAATTTAATGACTTTTTGAAATTAGTGTATATTTACCATGCTTTTGCCTGCATTTAGTATTACATATTTTAGATCATTTTCATATGATAACCATACACTCTGTGTTATAGAGCAGTGAGACCAAGATTGAATTATTTATGCATGTTATTATTTATTCCAATCAGAACATAAATACCTTCTACCAATCCTGAGATACGGCTGTTGTAGTAACCGCGTCAACTACTTTTTCTCTCCACTTTAAGAAACAAAATGTTTGACCACTTTCCCAACAAGTAAGACAACAACCTAGTGTATGAACTCTTTGTCTATGTCTTTGCTATTCCAATCAGCAATCAGAACAGAAATAACTTCTACCAATCAAGAGCTACGGCTATTTGAATAACCTCAAACTTATTTCTATTTTCATTTTAACTAAAATAACTTCCCGATGTTGAAATGATAAAATTATATCACAGGGGAGCACATTCTAATTAAGCAATAAGAGGCTGTGCTGTGTCATGAATATAGTCACGGGTAAATGGCGTTGTTGGGCCCTATGCGCAGGGGAGGCGCACAAATAATCTTCTGGAAAATTACCCTTTCTGGTTTCAGAATATTTTCAGCGTCTTGCGTTGCGATTGCAGCTGTGGAGTTCAGTAGCTAGATGAGATGAAGAAGCAGCCAGTCACTGACAGTTGTTATGTCTGTATCCTTTCTTCCTCCTCTCTCACTCTCTTTTTCTGTCTCTCTTCCTCCTCCTCTTCTTTCTCTCTCTGGTGTGGGCCAGAGGCCAGTGCTAAGACGCGAGATGGGGTGCAGTGTGCGTTTGAGGAGCTGGTTGAGAAGATCATCCAGACCCCGGGACTGTGGGAGAGCGAGACGCAGAGCCGAGGAGTCCAGCTGGGCGGGCAGGACCATGCTGCAGGGGGGAGCTGTGGGGGCTACTGCTCCCTTGTGTAGACCACACATACTCACACACACACATACATATACAAAAATCACATACACACATAACATACACAAACACTTGAAAGACACCCTACCAAACACTGATGGCTGATGTCCTTTGAAGAGGACTGTGAAGGCTATGGTATTCAGACTATTTCCCCCATCAGCCCCTGAGGTGTGGTGTGAGGCAGGGCTGTTCCTGACCAGCACCCTAAGCTTCCTGGCTGTGAGCATTCATAGGGACATTGCTGTTTGCACACTTCCTGCTATCATAGCTATAATGCTGTTTATAAGTCGTCATCCCTGTCTTTCTTTCTCTCTCTCTGTCTATTTGTCCACTGACTGGAATGGAGAAAATGAAATGAGTGTATGACTTGGTAATGAATAGTGAGGAAAAAACAAAATACCATGAATAGCACATGGGGGGATTATTTTTATCTAGCAAAGATTTTTTTTAAATCACCTGTTCATAATTTGTTTTTTTATGACTTTTCTTTGCCCTCCCCTCCCAACACTTTGTATTTTCTTTGAATATGTAGATTCCCCCTACTTTCTCTCCCTTAGCACTTTGTTCCTCTTAGCAAGGCAAGCACAACTAGGGTGTGTTGGCTACAGAGATGATACTCCAGTGTATCTGCCCCGTGTGATCATGCAGCCTTGTAATCCTCCAGTGCTCACCCTCCTAACAGCGCTGTGTTTTATAGTCTTATCAGCCCAAGTCGTCACGTATTCCCTTTCACCACCCAATCCCACATAATGAGTCTCTCTTTCTCTCTCTGTTGTCCACAAACCTCTTTTGTTCGAAAGTAATAGTTACCAAGTTTCTGGAATGAAGTTTTACTACTTTTATTGACTTGGACTCCAAACTTTCAGTGTGTTTTTGAAGAGTTTATAAATCAAACAGATTGGCAGGCACCGGGGGGTTTGCTTTCCATTGTGTGTGTTATGAAAAAGAAACTAAACGAACGAACGCTGCTGTTTTGTTTCTAGTTGTTCTAATGGGCTGTGACCAACCAGGCAATCTGCCACTCAGACAGATGATATTAGTAATATCAACGCTATAGCCTAGCTTCAGCTTTTCATAATACATCCCTCCTAAGTGGAAAAAAAGACAATGTCATATGGGTGTTTCCATTGAAATCTGAAATTAAAGAAAGAGGCTTAAGCCCTGTACAAATGCTTTTTGCAGAGTTATTTTTCTCCATTTATACTGTTCAATCAAACTCCAAACAAAATACATTTTCAGCATTCTAATTAATTTCTACATTTCCTGCACTTTTATTATAATTTCCACTCTGTGCCATGCAGGATGATATGAGCAAAATAATATAGGCCTAGTTAATTGGTGAACTGTTGGAATGATGGAAATATAATGATTATTCTAATTCTATAGTTGGAATATAGTGGGCAGCACCTTGAATACATTGTTTGACATGACAAATGAATAAATAAGAGAGGAATTATTGACAGGGTAGGAAACAAAGTGTTGGTCAGTGTTTCCAGGTGACCCTAATTAAATGTCTTACTTCATGTATCTAGCTAGCCAACATATTCATGCTTCGCCTATTCCTCTCTGATAAGATACCGTTGCACAAACATGCCTATCTAGGCTTACACCAGCTAACTAGCGATTAGAATTAGCAGCTAACTCAAATTATTTTAGCAACACCTTGCTAAGAAAAGACAAACTAGCAGGTAGTAGTTTGCAGACAGTGAGATACACAAACTAATAGTGTATAGAACGCTTGTGGAAAGCAGCATGTCGCCAACATTGTTGCATCAGTCTGACCATGCAGAGTGAATGGCAAGAATGTGCTTGTGACTCTGTGGTCGAGCAACTGCTGTCTTGAGTGATGGGGGGCTTAGTGTTGTTAGTGGCATGCAGCAGAGGGAAAGAGACCACTCAAGTAGCAAACAGAGTAAACTATAAAAACTGACATTATACGCACCAGAGTTAACAAACCAAACCTAGAAATACAGTTTATAGAAGGTAAAGTAAAAACTCAAACCGGTTCGAGCATCAATACCGGTATATAGTAAAATACGGTATACCGCCCAGCCGTACATGAGTGCCAGAATGTGGTTGCGAAATGTAGTTTTGGGTGGCCATACCTATGACCTATATTTGTGGCAGGAGTGACACAGATGCCTTTACAGTATGTCTAATCAGAAAATAATTATTTCTTATCATTAATTGCATGAGAATTCTTATTTTATTTTGACCTTGTTCATGTTTGTTCTAGGAATGACTTGCAGAGACAGTTGGATTGTGTCCCAAATGGCTCCCTATTCCCTATATAGTGCTCTATATAGGGAATAGGGTGCCATTTTGGACACAAACTTGGACTGTATCAACCACACTTACACAACACTAGTTAGATTTACCTGCATCCTGAACCCTCCAAACAGGTTTATAGAGTATACTACGTTGGGATTTTATACGGTCTATTTGTCCTGAATGAACTAGATGTCTGCTTTATGATTGAAACAGACTTTAACTCTTGAACTCTGTTCTGTGTTCTTTTTTGTTTATATGTGACAGCATATAAACACATTGTAAATGAATGTGTGTATCTAGGAATTCTATGAAAATATGTATAATTCCTGTATGGATTGTAAAAAAATGTATGTATCCATATTACAATTATAAACCGCCCTATGTATTAAGTGAATAAAATACTTTTTAAAGGATTTTGATGTGAATGCTTGTCCGGCCAGAGTTAAGGAGCCCTCGCCTATTGTAAAACAAAGAGGCAGATCCTATTAACTTTAATATAGATCTTCACACTGTAATTGTACTTCACCTCATCCAAGAAGTCTTTGTGGAAAACGACCTAGAGTACTTACCATGTTGGACTTGGAAATGTCATAATTTGATGAGAGGTTTTTTTCTCCTTGCCGGTTTCATTTTTTCAGAATTTGAATTCCTCCATTTTACAGATACAGAATAAAGACGTAGATACGTAGACGTGTGTTTGGTTTAAAAACTGTCCGAGGACTCTTCCGTTAGCGCCCAGACCTGTGATGTATCTAAATCATCTTTTGGGCAGAGGTTCAGGAAACGCCACTACGGCCATAACTGTTTTACCCTGGTGCGGTGGGTTTGACTGGGATGTGCATAATTCCTGTGTGATTATGAAAGGGCTGGCAGAGCAGACCGCTACCCGCTAACCTCCGTTCTCCTCACCGCTCAGCGAAGGCAGTTAGTCTGAAAATATGTCTCAGTCAAACACCAACACAGACCTACGACATAACGGAATGTCTGTAGCTTCAACAGAGACCTAGCTGCTACATAATGTAGCATTCATCTGATTCTCAACCCATCTATCTGTTTCATTACACAGAATATAGAGGTTTGCCAAGGCAGGCATTTCTAACTTCCAAGTAGATGGCACATTTGTACCAGAGGGTGCTCACCCACCACCAACCTCAAAACCCAGACCTGGGTTCAAATAGTATCCGTTTCCAAAAACGCAAACCCTGTCCATCTTGCACTCTCCAGGCAGACCTCAATCAATTGCTCAAACAAAATAAATTATATTTGAATCCAGGTCTGACCTGTGACCACCAATAGGGATATATGCCACTGCTTACCACCTTATAGCCACATCCCATTGCATTCTCTATTCACTAACCACTGCTCAAATCCACACTAGTAGTCTAGTATATAGTATTTATAATATTGTTTCGATGTCCTAAATGGCACCCTATTCCCTATATCCCTCAAATTCAACTCTGGACCTCAAAGCCAGTTCCACTGCTTTATTTTCCACATTGTTCCCCTCTAATCAAGGACTGATTTAGACCTGGGACACCAGGTGTGTGCAATTAATTGTCAGGTAGAACAGAAAACCAGCAGGCTCCAGACCTCGTAGGGTACGAGTTGAATACACCTGGCCTATATAATGCACCAGAGCCCAATGGTCAAAAGTAGTGCACTATAAAGTGAATATGGTTCCATTTGGGTTAGAGACAATGTATAGTCAGTGAGTGCTAAGCTAACAGTGGATCTGTGTCTCATTAGCACAGGTTTTGGGTTAGTGCTAGCTCAGACGAGCCTCTCAGGAGAGCAGTCATGCTGTCATGTGTAAAAATGTTACGAAACATCGGGCATCGTTTCATAAGGTGTCGGGTTCCCAGACGTCACTCAGTTTGTCATGATCATTGCCGGTCTACGATCAGTTAATTGTTTTGCCATGCTGACCTGAAGAAATGAATGCTGCTGGAAGAGATCTGAGTTGTTATCATGGGGCATTAAGGCTAATGTGTTAACAATGAGGAGGATCAGAGTGTTGGAGGAACAGAGTGTTGTGTGTGAAAGTGATAGGGGAGCACTGGGGAGTTGGCACTGAAACAGGTCTTGTCTAATAAGCTACACTTTCCATACTATTGTGCCGACTTGAATCAAACCGTACTCTGCTGGCTCTGATTCACATTGTCCTTTTCAGCACAATTCCAGCAGCTATGTTGAATGCGTAAGCAGGCCAGAGCAGTACGGCTCGCCTTGGCTGGGCTCAGCTCAGTAGTGTGAAAAGGGTAGCCTCTAAGGCATCTGTGCGTCTGCAGTCTGATCAAGTGTTTACGTTCTGAAGTGAGGTAGAGGAAAATGCCCTTCCATCCAGGCTCCTTCTCTACCCTCTGAAGTCAGTAAGTTCCAGCTCAAGCTTCAGCCAAGCTCCCCGGCCCTCTCCTCTCTTAGGTTACCATGAGTATGTCCCAAATGGCACTCTATTCCCTTTATAGTGCACTTCTTTTGACCAGAGTCCTATGGGTCATGGTCAAAAGAAGTGTACTATAAAGGAAATAGGGTGCCATTTGGGACGCAACCCCTCTCTGCACCAGAAGCCTCTGAGGTAATACAACCAACAGCCCCAGAACTGATGAGACTGTCAATGTAGGTGGAAACACACTAATTATGTTAAATCTCCTGTTTAGATTGTCGTAGTCGCTTTACACTCTGTCTCCTGGTATTTAATCAGGAGCTTCTTGTTTCACTATTTAACTGGTCCCTC